TTTCCTCTTCGGAGGTTTACCTTGCCTCAGCCTACCCAGCGCCTCACGATTATATGCCGTGAGGGCCGCCGGCCCCAGCAGAGCGATTTGGCACTCCATGCGCAAATCGCGAGGCTTCGCTTCCGCCCAACATCCACAAAGCCCACAGAAGGTGAAGCGGCCTTTGCTCCATGCGGCATGGCTGTGATGCACCCTATGTCCGTGGACGAAGGCCGGGGGAGGTAAGCGTCGAGGGGGGTCGGCCATTTCAAGCCTGCACCACAGATCCTCGTCGATTGGTGCCTTACCGGCCTGCGAGCCCACCGCTCGTCTCCCTCGCGGCCGCCTTCGACGCTCAGGCGTGGGAGGGGCAGATTGCAAGCGGGCCGCGCACTGCGTACGCGCAGCGCGGAAAAACAAACGAGAAACGGATTGAGCCAGCTTGTTGCAAGCTGTGCATCTCCATATGTTCTTCGCCACTGGCTCGAAACTGTGAGCGGAAGCCTCGAGAAGTGCAACTACAATCCTGCGACGGCGCACCACTCGCGGGAGCTGAACCCGATGCAAAATGCGTTCTGGATTCTTGAGCCCCCTAGCTCGCTCCAAAATGATGGAGGCATTGCGGCGCAGAATGCGGCAAGCTAAGTTTTCATAGTCAACTATTTCGCGGACCACGTCGCCTGGGAGCTGAGCGCTCGCCGAACGCGCCGTGGCAAGAGCATCCGCGATAGCATTGATGAAAAGATGTTGTGGATTCAGAGTCGCCGCAAACCGAGCAAGCTTAGCATCGTCATCAGCACAATGACTTGGCGTGTACACTAATTCCAACAAACCTGACCGTAAATCAAGCATCTGCCAGAGCTCCCACCACAAGTCAGCATTCTGCAACCGAAGGGTGTGGTGACGTCCCTTATGAAAGGCCTTCTGATGATTAATGTGGTCGGTGACAACCGTCAGGTGGTGATCACGTGCCACACGACGCACCACTTCCACAATAGCGACCAACTCGGCGCGAGGCACCGTCTGACGTTGACTATCCAGAATTCCATGCGCCCCGCTATCCCAGTCAAGATCAGGATCAACGCAAAGACGCGCGAACCCGAAGGTAACCCTTCGCAATATGGGATCGGTCGCGAAAGGGCCTCCAGAACCGTCGGCGCCGTACGTCCCCCCAGGAAGAGGACCGTCATGGCATCGGAAAAACTCCAAAACCCTATCCTCCGGAACCCCTGGAAGACGAAACCAACCAATGGGAATGAGACCGCGGCACCAAAATACAGGATGCTCAGCAATACCATCCAAGGCTTGCTGACAAAGTTCGTTGCTATTTGTTACGTGCTCACAAGAGGAATGCGAATGGCAAGAGCAAGCCCAAAAAGCATGACATGACGAATCAATCGATTCATGGCACTGCTGGCAAACAGAATCTGGCGCAATCTTCGCAGAATGCTTGCGTTCCTCAGGCCAGTATCCGCCGCATGCAACAAGCCGTATCATGCGGGACAGCGCCTCGTCACCGTCTTTGGCAACGCGCCGAATGAGTCTCGCAACGTGCGTCCACGTTCGTACGGAAAAGCTTGCACGCATCCCGGTTAGAAGAGGAAAGGCGGTTAATCTTCGCCGCAGCATTGCTACCGGTTTGCATGCGAGCGCGCCGAACCATGACGGTCCTCCGAGCGCCGAGACTGGTGTCATGGCCCAAGTCCCTGGCATTCGCAACACCCCGAATTTCTCCGTATCCCTCTTGTCGCGCTAAAGAGAGAAGCTCCCTACGCAGGCTCGCGGACGAGGCCAGAATCCCGCATTTGTCAAGGGAAAGTTGGACCTTACGCTTGCGAAGACCTGTCAAAAGAGCCTTAAGAAGAACTGGGAAGGTGGCAACGAGGGACGCATGCGTGCCATACAAGCGACAAGAAATATCGTCGACCCATTCCCGCAACGACTGTCCCGACACGGACTTAGAGGCAGCATCAAGAGGAGAAAACAAGAAGGCCCTGGCCAACGAGACTGCCTGGCCGCAGCCTGGTAAAATGCCTCCGCTCGGTAATACGCCTTTGTGGATGCACCCTGAAAGAGTCAGAAACCGCACCCCGAGATATGAATCCAGGGCGAGCGCAAGAAGCCTCAACGGATAATTAAGCTCAATTGCCGCATCCACAAGGTCGGCTAAGTTCACTGAGTCGTAAAATTTTCGAATGTCCAACAACAACCCGGCAACCTGAAACCCCTGATGCAAGGCGAGTTCCGACTCCAGTTCGTCCAGCCACCCGGCTGCCTCGGCAGAGCCTCCAACCGTTTTGTCCCAAGGACCGTGATACGCGCGGTCCCAAGCTTGAACGTACGGCCTTCTGATCCGCAACAAAATGACGCAGCATATTCCCATCAGAGCGATGGGGCGATGGCCCCCACCTGATTTAGGAAGGAGCGCAATGACATTCATGAGTTGCTGCATGGGAAGAGCAGCCTCTTCCTCAATGGACGCCAACAGCTGCACAAACGCCTTCTTAGCATCAACGCTGGC